GTTGTTTACATTGAGAGAGATGTATTTGCTTTTATTGATAATGAGCCTATTATGCGACGTTTTCATGACATGAAACCTCGCCGGCAACAATTGTAATTTGTTTGTATTGATTAATTATGGAAGACATTACTATATAAAAAGATTTAGTTGTTGCCATTTTTCTTTAACCTTGCACTCTTTTAAGTTTGCCCCTCCCCCCGAGAAATCCTTGCTTAGCCACTGGCTACGTGGTGCCTTAAAACGCACGTTAATATATTTAACATTATGATAATGGTAAACGAATTTGACGTAAGTTTGTATTCGCTTTAGAGGACTAGAGTCATGAAAGTCCAATAACCAAAAGTTTCCACATGAGCTTTGACTAGGGTATGTGGACATTTCTAACCCAAAACAAGGTTGCTGATTACGATTATACAATCAGTCAATACTCATCTTATGGCATGATTGTACATAAATTTTTGTATTTTTATATCATCATTGGCGTTAAGCACCTTTTAAGTACAAGAAATCATGTCATTAAAAAAATTATATGATTGAATAAATTAACGGTGAATTAAGGAACGTAAACAAGTAGGGAAGGTAAGGACGGCAAACGGAAAGCGAAAATCATTCGCAAACGCACATATATTAAAAATCAAGAATAGTAATTGTTGGTGTAAAAAATCAGACAAAGTCTAAACTGGATTCAACACGTATTTTTTATGAGAGTTGCTTTCGGTCTCCGTGCCACGGGATGACTCGAGAAAAAGAGAGAATAAGTGTGCCATTGTTGGAGGCTGCCAACTGACAGTGTTCATGTTCAAATATGTGTGAGTGTAGCGCGTAAATCTAACTTCTTAACTAAATGATTGTGGATCAAGCGTGACGCTGGTTTGGTTAAGTTCTTTTATGTGCCTCGAGAGAACCATGACTTAACATTCAGTGTAACTTCGTGAATGCATGCCTAAAAAGTAAATGAAAGCGAAATAGAAACTAAAGCTAAAATAGAATGTAATAATTTCATGATGAAGTCAATATTATAAACGTGTTTAAAAGTAAATTTTGGACTGATTGGCCGAACTACATGACTTGAAATGTAAATTAACTGGAAATGTAAAGAAAACAGTAAAAACTCTAGCAAGATTCTGGCCATGAAGGAGAAGATAATGCTAAAGGAGTCCATCGAGATTACTGGTATCGAATTGGACTTAGTACAAAACATATGCCTTTGAGAAGGAATCAGGGTGGTTGGAAAATAGCACATCAACCGAATCAACCACATGGTGACAAAGCTGTAAAAGTTTTAATCTCAGGTATCTTAGGTTGTGTTTGTTGCAAATGAAGGCTTTAAGATTGTAGCTGAAGAGTTAAGAGGTTTGCTAAAGAGCAATTAAGTTTATGCTGAAAAACAGTTGGGTTGATTGAAAACTCATTCAAGATTTTAATAATCATACAAATTGAATTTGGCGAAGGTCTTGAGCTAGAAAGCTTCTGGCTTTATTTATAGGCAATGGAGAACGAGCAACCTCAATCGTATCACCAAGCTGGAGCCCTGATAGATTGGTCATTTGACGTTGATAGTAACTATAATTCCCGGTAAGTGGCCATCAACTATGTCTTTTGAGGGTTTGCAAAATCGCAGTGGTGACTTGAGCGTGTCAGATGACACGTAGATCGTTACTTAAGGTGGCAGACGAGCCTTGGAAGAAACCCTGTCCGAGCCTTCAAACGGGTTAGAGTGAGGTGGTCGTTCGAACCTTAGGGTAAGATCCCAATTGATCATTGAAGTTGGTGGGCCGAAGTCTTGCGACTTTTGCTTATATAAAAATAGTTTGGCCCCTTAACATACCTTATTTTTATAGGAAAACTAACCCAAAAGGGCTTGAAAACTTTAAATTTTAATCAAAAACCACATTGTAAGTTTATTTAATGGTTAATACAAAGCCCACTTTTATATCAGGCCATATAAAATAGCCCAAACAAAATAACATGGTTATTTGTCAATTTTACCCCGAACGGATTTGGTTAACCTAACTTGATTATTCTGTTAGATTAGTTAGTTTGGAGTTAGCCGAACCTTATAAACTAATTGAATTTTAATTTTTGCAGAACAATTGCAGAGAGTTCTTCAATTGTTTCCGAAGTTGGTTGAGTGGTTTGAGTAATGTTTACCGACGAATGTTGAGAGCGCATTTTGAAATCATGATCGCACGTTGTTCTTTTTCCCTATTAGGGGGATTTTTCCGAAACAAATATTTGTTTCAGAACAGTTTCGCAGTGGTTGCATATTTTGAGATTCTATCGAATCGTTATCATTGGTGTTGTTCGTTGTGGTTGAATATTTTCACTGGAGTGATCGTCTTTCATATTTGATTAGATTTTCGTTTGGAGGTAATCGGCACTATTTTTGCAGTTTTGAATTCGATTTTGTCGTTGTTGTTGTTTTTTTTTATTGCATGTAATATGCTTAGCTTTTTATTTGAATTATATATTGTTATTGATTTGTTTTCAGATTAGCAGATTGATTCTGGTTTTTTAAATTTTCAGTTAGCAGTTTCTTATTTGTTTCTGTTTTCTTACTGTGCAAAGGAAACATGTCCAGAAATAGTTGAAGGACAGTTTAAGAATAGTTCAATTAATCTCATAAATAAGTGATACTTGATTTTATTTTTAAATAAAGGAAAAAAGTTGCAGAAGTAGTTCAAACAGAGTTTAATAAATAGTTCAATTATAGTTTCAAATGTAGTTGACATTTGACAGTGCATTTTCACTTATGTTGTGCAGAGAGTTTTTAGGTTGCTTATGCTATTATTGATTCAGAAACGATAGCAAATTGGAATTGGTTATTGACAATATTATCTAGTATTTTGAGGCCTCAAAGGAGGGTGATCACATTTATGTCGGATAGACATGATGGTATTTTGAAGAGTTTTCGAGAATTCTTTCCCAAGTGTCCACATTCATTTTGTATTGTTCATTTGAAACAAAATGTGAGTGTTTTATTTCCAAAGGCTGCTGGTGAAGGATTAAAGAAGAAAATGATGAATCTGTTGGCAAATTGTACGTATGCATATACTCCATCTAATTTTGATGATTGCATGGTGAAATTCAAGGATAATAGGCAAGGTCATGTGAAGAATTTTTTGTGTGATTTTCCAAAAGAGAACTATGTTATTGCCTATTTTCCTGGTAAGAGATGGGGATCGATAAGCAATGCATTTTCAAAAAATTTTAACGCCATGGTGTAAAATAGTCGTTCCATGCCACTTATAGATCTTCTTGAAGACATTAGAGTTCGGTTGATAGGTAGTATGGTTGAGAAAAGAATATTTGGTCAGAATATTCATACGATTTTGTGTCCAAAGAAAGAAACTGAGATGAAGTTGATGTTGAAGGAAGGCATGCATTAGAGGATTAGTCGTTCTGATGTGGATGTTTTTGAAGATAAGACGGAATGGAATTGGTTTGTTGGTTGTCTGGATGATAGAACATGTTCTTGTGTGTAATGACAGCATAATTATTTTCAATGTTCTCATGCTTTGCAAGTGTTGCAATGTCACATCCCGACCCGGGCCCCCACCACATCCCGGGCTCGACTCCACCGTAGCATGTTGTTTGCTTTGGGCCTCGACCACGCCCTTACGGTTTTGTTTCTGAGAACTCACACGAGAACTTCCCAGTAGGATTGCTTTGGGCCTCGACCATGCCCTCACGCCATCATGGGATTGCTTTCGCGCAAACTCGCTTAACTTCTGACTTCCGATGGAATCCGAAGCCAGTGAGCTCCCAAAAGGCTTCGTGCTAGGAATATATGAGAATATACATATAAAGCTTACAAGATCCACTCCCCTGGGCGATGTGGGATGTTACATGCAACATGATAATCGTGATGTTTTTTATTACGTTGATGATTACTGGAAATCAAGATTTTATCGGAAAACATATCAATTTGTCATGCCTCCAATTACAAAGATTCCGTCTGGAAGACCAAAGAAAACGAGGATCAAATCTGCTGGGGAAATCAGTGGGAGTAAAAAGACTATCACTTGTAGCAGGTGTGGATGTTCGCGACATAACAAAGGTTTCATGTAGAGTTGTTATACTAGGCGGTTGATTTTTTGCTTTTTTGTTTTGAGAGATGGGAGTTTTTGGTGATATGTAACAGATTTTCATTTTGGATATTGTTTATTTTGTTTCAATTGGTGTTTGGGAGCATGTAATTGTTGATATGGAATTATGTTCGAGTAATAAATATGAATTCAATGTTTTAGTATTTCCAATTTTACGAAACAGTATGTTGAGTTTGATAAACAGTGAATACATATATAAGTTTATGGCTTTGTGGTTTCAATATCTGTTTTGTAGGTTGTATGTAAGTATATGTGTGTTGCATTTAAAGTTTTAAAGTAAATGCAAGGCCTTTTGTAGGAGGCAAGTATGTTGGTTTTCATTCTTGATCTAGTTAATATTTAATTTTAGGTAAGAGAAAATGAAAAAAAACCATCGCTCGATCTTTTTATGAAACTTTGGTTGGCCAACAATTTGGTTGGATTTAAAATTAGTTGATACTTACGTAAAATTATTTGTATTTTTAATTTTTATGACTTTAATGAAACAGATTTTGCATTTTAATAAACGGTTGTTAAAGTTATGAAACAGTGTTTACAGTTCCAGTAAAAGTTTGTATATGAATGCATAAATAGTGATCTTCATTTTTTGAAATAGCCATGTGTATGACTTTTGATGTTTCAACATATATTAATGTTAATTTGCTATATAAATTTGGACTTTTTGTTTTTTTTACAACACACATTCACACAAATCAAAATAGATTAAAACTAGAAATTATTTCCCCCGCACGTTGTTGCGGGATTAAAAAATGTAAAAAGCATTATGTTTGACAGATATAAAAAATTGTGTCATAAAAGATTAATACAATTCATTGCTATATTTAATTGATACTCCACATAAAATTGTAGAAGTGTTGGCTATCTATGTACATAGAATATTACACATTCCACTTGGGTAGTTTTTGTGATTTTCGATCAACAGCAGTACTTACATACAAAAGGTTATGGAACTTTGGGCTATTTACATGCAAAAAACGTTAAGAAATATTGTGTCATTTACATTGATAAAATATGACAAAAATTGTTCAATGGAACACCAAAAGTTCCCTCCAGTACTCTTGATTGTCAAAAAAGTAGTTTAAACCAATATAAGACCAAAAACTCTTCCAAATTCCTTGTGTATTCAGTTTCTCTAAATCAACCAACTTCTCCGTTCCAAACTATCCAACAAATATTTGACAGCAATACATCCAACCACCAATAAACATTTTAAACTCATCGAAAGATCAAAACCCTTTCAAATTTGCATGCGTATTAGTGATTTTCAACTAAATTATTTGGAGATGGAGACACACAAAGCTAGCATAGGAACCAAAGAAGATCTGCAAGAGCAAGTTAAGAGATCATCGTATTACAGAAACAAATTACATAATAAAATTAAGAGCGCATTGTTAAGAAGAAGAGTACCTCAAATGTTTAGAAATTAAGAAATTGAGAAGCTCAGTTGCATGCAGAACGACAGTGTTTCGACCTGACATTTTAAACTCTTCATAACATCAATTTCCATCTTAAATTAGAATAAACCTCCAACGTTAGAAATATGAGTACAAACGAATGCTTAGTAAAAGAATTAGCCAATTCTAATAGAATTGTTAATCAAACTATAAAAGCAACATATGTATTTTTCCAAATTCAAATAGAACCAACAGAGAGAATCCAATTGAAATCCGAACAGCCCAAACAGACCATGAAGATTATACAATCAGAAGAAGAGATATTTGGGGAAGAAGAGTTCATTACATAGTCTGAAGGCAGCCGAGCAGCAGCAGAAACTAAAAAAGCGAACAACTTTGGCCTCAAATTTTATCTGAAAAAAATAATAAAATTAACAGGTAGGAGTGATAATGTTATTAATATGTGGGTTGTGTGTTGGTTTGTGTCTTTGAAACACCAAGAGGTCCAAAAATCGAAACAAAGTGGAAAATAAATCTTAAAAATTTTTAGCCAAAAACATCCTCTCTAGATAAAATTAAAAAGTAAATCATTGGAAAAACGAAACGTATATGACAACGAATAAGGCACTTGCATGCCTCTTAAGCTTGTTCGGATCCTTCACAACCTCCTTGCTCGCATCTCCACGTTTACTCTTCAACCTATGAAAATCAGAAACCAACACCGACACACAAATAAAGATGAGATATGTGGTTAATATCAAACAGAGCTTGGTGGTGATCTTTTCAAAAGTCAAGTTCGCAGTACAACTTTATATTTGTTTTCACTTACATTGATGATAAGTATAATCAAGACAGAGAAACTTATGAACCAGCCTGTCAAAATCATTGACGAAGAAATGATAAATAACGGATTCTCAAAGATACAGAAACTTATCAAGAACTTGGACAATGAAGATACCCAAAAAAGGAAAATTCTTGGACATGCAACCAACAGGTGTACAGAAAATTAAACAAAAATTCAAAATTGACGGTTCATATCGAGATCTTGAATCAAATCGCAAAAAGTTGTGAAAATTCATAATAAAACGGAAATAAAAAACATAATCTCACTTCGCATCAGTTTTTCTGTGAGCAGCAACTCTTGATTTCCCCATGTTCAACTAAACCTTCATAGAAAACTGCAAAAAAAAAAAACAATGAGAATCATTTATAAACGGCAACAAATCGATATTAACAAATAAAAAAGAAGTCGGAGAAAAAATAGAGAGAAAAAGATAGCTAGGAGATGGAGCGGAGGAGATGTTGTCCAAAGTTGAGGAATAAGGATGGAGAAGTCTGGAAGAGGAGACAAAACAACTAAACCTTCTTGTTTGTAACACTGTTTTGCAAACTGGAACTATTTCTGAAACTAGATTATGACACTATTTTGCAAAGTCTAAATTTATACTATATTTTCATAGAATGATTTTGTTTTCTATTTTTTGTGTCTCATTTTCATATATTTGTAGTTAGATGACATAAAATTATTGAAAAAATGAATTATTTGTTGATTTGTAATACTATTTCGTAAAGTGTAAAGAGTGAAAAATTAACTATTTCTAAAACTTCTTATGACATTATTTTGCAAACTGTAAAGTTATACTATTTTGCAAACTGCAAACTGGTTATGACATTGTTAATAACAATGTTTTGCAAATTGGAACTATTTCTGAAACTATATTATGACATTTTTTTGCATAGTCTAAACTTATACTATATTTTCCTAGAATGATTTTGTTTTCTGTTTCTGTCTCATATCCGTATATTTATAGTTAGATGATGTATAATTACTGAAAAAATGAACTATTTGTTTATTTGTAATAATGTTTCGTAAAGTGTAAAAAGTGAAAAATTCACTATTTCTGAAACTTCTTATGACATTATTTTGCAAACTGGTTATAACATTGTTTGTAACACTGTTTTGCAAACTGAAACTATATTATGACACTATTTTGTAAAGCCTAAACTTATACTATATTTTCCTAAAATAATTTTGTTTTCTATTTTCTGTGTCTCATTTTCATATATTTGTAGTTAGATGACATATAATTACTGAAAAAAATGAACTATTTGTTGATTTGTAATATTGTTTCGTAAAGTGTAAAGAGTGAAAAATTAACAATTTCTAAAACTTTTTATGACATTATTTTTTCAAACTGTAAAGTTATACTATTTTGCAAACTACAAACTATTTTTCAAGTATGAGTCTTGTGTTTGTATATATGATTTTCACGATCATTCTAATGTGTTTGAATGTATAAATTTAATTGAAAATTATAAAGATCAATTTGTTGCTTGTACTTACGAGTTCTCCTTTTGTAGTGCACAAGTTAAGAATCTTTGAATTTCTATTGTGAGGTCGTTGTCACCTTTGAAATCTTTATATATTGCTTCTATTTTGTCTCTCTGTCAAAACAAATAAAAATAATAAAAAATAAATAAAAAATTGTATTATGAAGTTTGATTTTTCTTGTCAGCATAAAAATATAGTTTGTAAGTTGTGGTTTTGTTCTTACCACTTGCATAGTATGATCAAAGTATTGGTCTGTATTCCCGTGTATCCTTGGTAGTTTGGAATTGTAGTGTGTCATTTTTCCATCTTTAATGTCCCAAACTACCAAGCTAAAGTGGAAGTAATGATTGATCAGTATGAAGACCTTTCCAACTTTTATCCACATTATCTTGTAAGATTGTCTTCAATGTTTGGTCACCATGCTCCTAATCACTCTTGCTTTTTTCTATCTCCATGTCATTCTGAACCAACAATACACATTTATTTATTAATCTTAATTAATAAATAACACTAATTCTTAAACTAAACCAAAACACTAAACACTATTTAAGAAAGTTAATTAAATTTACAAAATATTTATAAAATCGCACAAATACAAATTTTTGGAAACAAAAATGTTTGGCACTTACAAAGATGAAGGAAATAAGATAAAGATTTTGTTGTTGCCCTGTTTTTTATTCGTTTTCTGCCATTATGTAGAACGAAGCATCAATTATGTTGGCATCGATTGCCCCATCCACAAACAATGATGTCATATCTGTTTTTAGGACAACAAGCTCAATTGCCATGGACCCTTGCCTTGGTTACATCCAAAAGTAGTCCCTGTGTAAGAAAAGAAAAAAATATTATATATATATATGTGTGTGTGTGTGTGTGTGTGTGTGTGTGTGTGTGTGTGTGTGTGTGTACATGTATTAAGTTATAATTAATAATATAAACTTACATTTTCTCTTATCTATAATATTCCTTGAATTTTCCTTTTGTCTCATCTTCAAGTAACTTGTACGCCCTTGTTGATGCAAGTAGATGATACCATTTGTCAAGCTTTTCCTTTGTTTGCTTTGGCTTCTTTGGAGGATTCTTTGCAATCTTCTTTACAGGTTTCTTTGCTGTTTCTTTAGCAATTGGATTCAAGGTTGATTGAACATTTGGCTGCTCTTTTTCTTTCTTAATTATTGGTTCTAACGATTGACTTTGTGATGGAACAATTGAAGGGCTTTCACTACCACTCACAACATAAATGTATTTTGCCTTCTTTTGTTTTTTCTAGATCAGGATATAATCATAGTCTGGATTGACATTTGGTTTACGATCATCCATTTTTCGTATATTTTTTTACTAGTGTTCTCTTCTTTTTCTTGGAAGTTTCTTTTCCTTCTACTTCAGGATCCTTGCTAGTTGGAGTCTGCATTTGAACATCTTGGTGATATCCAAATGTCCCTTTTGCAGTGGCTGTCTTTTTCTTCATGCTCATGATCCTCCTCATTTCCATGTGGATCATGATCAATTGCATGCCCTTGTTCTGGATTCTCCATAGCCACATCATTTTCAATTGCATTTTCTTGAATTGGAGCCTTGGTAACAGTATCCTTATTATCATGTGTATGCTCTTCAACTCGATCATCATTATCTGGATCTTCTTTAGGTGGTTCCTCATTTTCTAGATCATTTTCAATTGGATCCTTGAAATTTTGATCTTCCTTGATTTGAAGCATTTAGATCTGGTACTATTGGTTGCTTTTACAGTAGTTTCTTCTTCAAACTTCCAATTTCATCCAGAAGATTATTTACTTTTATAAAAGCTGATGTGTTCTTTAATTGCAACTGTCTCATTTCAATTTTCATTGAACTAATCTTTTGCTTGTCCTCATGTCGTTCTTGCAGAAGCTTTTCAATGTTTATGTTGAGTGCTCCAGTTGCTTGATTCGTTACAATTGAATCTGTGTGTAGATTGTCGAGTGCATATATCATCATGTGACTGAGGACTAGCTAGATACCTTTTTTGATCCATGCTCACACATCTTTTAAACTCTTCAAAACCTTCCACACCTAATGTGTTATCAATCCCGATGATGTCATTTCGATAAATTGCATCAAGTTTCATCAATTCTTCTCTATACAGTTGATCAAATTGTAACTGAGCTTCATTGATGGTGATACTGTAATCTTCTTAAGCTTTAGCTTCAGTTGTCTTCATTTTCCTTCATGTTGTCTTCTTTTCTTTTTTCTTGGAAGACTCATTTCTTTGTGCAGGAGAATGAATGACATTATCTTCTTCTTGGTTTATGTTGGAATGCTCCTTTATTGGTTCTTCAGAAGGTATAGCAACTGTAATCTGCTTACTTGGTTCAACACAAGGAATACTACCACCAATCTGCCCATAGTCACACATTAAATAGCTGTTAAATTACATCCTAATATAATTGTTTCGTAAACACTGTTTATTAAACTTTTAAAAACGCAAACTATTTACTGAATGTACAAATTATTAATAGAGAATCACACTAGTTTGTGTAATAGCATAATATATGTTACTGTTTATAGAAATGCTAAGAGAAACTATATATATAACATGAAATCTAAACTATTCCTAGATCATTATTATGATGCTATTTTTGAAATTGTAAACGATCAATATTTGTAGTATGATATTATTTTATGGATTTTGTATTATTACATTATCCATAGATCACTATTTATTGAAATGCACTTTTCTTTTAGACTGCAAACATGAACTCTTCAAGAAATTTAGAAACTATTGCTGGATTTGACACTATTTCTATTTTATATAAATGACACTATTGCTGGATTTTTTGTACTAGAGATTATGCAGTTTTCATTGTTGGTACAAATGCAAAGTTGAATTATTATTGAACTTCAAATTTGAGCTATTTCTGTATGATTACGAAGCCACTACTTCTGAAACTTTAAACTGTAAAGATCACTATGTTATGAAACTGTAAAGTGCAAAAATATATTGTTTATTGAAATGTAGATTGAAATACTTTTATTATTGGTCCTTACCACAATTTGTTCAACTGGAATATCTCTGATTGCTTTGTGGATTTTGGTTATGTCCCATCTTTCAATGGCAGAAACCATGTTTTCTCGTCCACTTATTATCTCCACTAGATTGGTGTGAAGACAAATCCAATACTACATGAAATAAGAACTTTGAATTACTTTCTTGTGTAATTTATAAGACAGAATTCATGTTTTTAAAATATAGTTCTTATTTCTTACCAAAATAAGGGAAGTGCATCCGCTTGTTGTTGTTGATTCTTCTCCATTTTTCCTTTTTTTTTTCTTTGATTTGTTAATCGTCTTGAACAAGTAGTCCCTCACTCCTTTTGCCCCAGTTGTATTTGCTGATTTGGTTCAATGCCTCACAAATTGTTATGAAGCTCCATGTGATGTATGTTTCAGTTGTTGCAAATAAGAGGGATTGTAGGAGATGTGCACATATGATTGAAGCAAGAGCTTTTGCCCCTTCAAGAGTTTCGTCTTGGATTAATTTTTGGTATGCTTCAAGGGTGTCTTATTTTTTTCACTATTTTTTGGTCCGCAAAATATGTATTGACAAAGTTGTCCTTTATGTTCTTTGTGGATTTGTCTGTGTTTGGTAGTTCAACTCCTTGGTTGTTCAATCCAAAGATTTGAGCAACGTCTTCACTTGTTATTCCTCTTGGCTCATGATCTTCAAATTTGAACTTTTGTTGCTTTGAGTTATAACATTGTATAATCTTGATCAGATCCATATCAGACCTCTTTTTTCTTTACGTTGCAACGATTTCATCATTCATGTAGAACTTGATCAAACTCCAAAATGGTGTCTTACCCAAATTCTAAATGCACATCAAAATAGGTTACAGTGTTCATCAAACAAAACAAAAATAAAACTATATTATTTCTTAAATTAGAACAAAACTACACCAGAGTACTTTGTGATACTGAACTAAAAAAAGTAAATTATTTAATGATCTATATATGTATAGACCACACTATTTATCAAAGTGAACTAGAAAACCACACTTTTTTTAATCAAAGCAAACTGAACTATTTATCAAATTGAACTAGAAAATCACACTTTTTTACCAAAGCAAACTGAACTATTTATCAAAGTGAACTAGAAAACCACATTTTTTTTAACCAAAGCAAATTGAACTATTTATCAAACTAAACTAGAAAACCATATTTTTTTTTACTAGAAAACTGAACTATTTATTGATCTATATCTGAATAGATCACAACTAAAAAACCACACTGATTTTGGATCCACAACAACATGGCCACACTATTTATCAATCAAAATAACTCAAAGTACTTAAGAAACTTAACTTAAAATACTGAAGTATTGATGGATTTACATCAGAATAGGGCATGCTATTTAAGAAAATGAACTAAAACACCACATTGATTCTGGATCCATACTGTTTATCAAGCAGAAACAAAAAAACTACACTATTTATCAAACTGTACTGTTTGTTGAATGTACAAATTATTAATAGAGAATCACACTAGTTCGTGTAATAGTGTAATATATGTTTATACTAGTTCGTGAATGCATCCCATATTATAATATTTCCGTACATTTCAATTCTATTTACAAATGAAGTAAATTGTAAACTATTTCGTAAACATTGTTTATTAAACTAAAACACCACTGGAATAGAATGTTGATTATATTTAAGTTATTTAAGCAAAGTAACCAACATATGAGGGCAAGAAAATACTATTTAAAGGTTATAAGAAAACGAGCAGTTATCAAAGTGAAATAAAAATGTACCATTTTGCAAAAACCTTGCTCATTCAATGCATTCGAAGCATGCAAACTTACATATTACTGTAAAATCATCAAGAATATCAGAAATTTCGTGGTACATACGTCTGTTGCTTTTATTTCCCAATTTTTTGTGCGTTTTTGTTTGGATGCAAATCATAATACTTTGAACTGGAAACTTAATTCATTTTTTAGAATCTCAAACATGCAAATGTACATATGTAGTAAATTAATGTCAGAAATCATCAAGAATATCAGAATTTATAGGTTCGTACCTGTGTTTGTCCGATTTTGACTCTGCAAATATACGTTTTGATTTTTTTTCTTCAGTTTTTCGTCTTCATATGGAGTTTTTGAGTTGAGAGATTCCAGATTTGATGTGTAGATTATTGTTTGAAAACTTGAATTGAACTTGAAAATGCTTTGAGATCTTGACGTTTTGAGCAATGAAGGTTTCGATTTTTTGGTATGGTGTGAAGGGGTTGGTGAACATTAATTGTGTTGGAGGGATGATGAATTTTAGTAATTGCAACTTTGGCTAACGGGCCTGGGTTAAGCTCCGTTAGGGGCAATTTTGGAATATTAATTGTTATTCGATTTGGGCTTTTTGTTGAGCCCGTGTATTTTAATTTTTGTAAGGCCTGAGATATAAATTTTCTGTTCTTATGATTAAAATTTAAACTTTTTTATTAAATAATAATTTAAGGTGATTTTTCATTAAATAAAAGTTAGCCCAAATCATTTTCGATAAAATTCTATATTTTTATTTATGGCTCAAACAGTGCTCACCAAGTTTAAGCATACCGTGAGTGGGAGACGTGCTTAAATTTATAGAAGGAGACGTTATCAAAAGTCGCGCGACCTGATCGATTGCCACCAGCTTCCGACAATTTTTGTTTTTTTTTAAATTTTGAAAAATCACTTATTAATCGCGCCAGCGATTTAATCATAACTTGCTTGAGAACGGTTTGCCTTCACTTCCACTAGCTTCCCGACTGGCTACGGCCGAGATTACCGCTCGCACCATTGAGACCAACTTCACCTTTCCTCATCAAGCCCAAGCCCGGAGAAGATATGTATGGACCGCTCCAGCTGACACCGCTATCCGTGGTTTGAGCGCTGGAGGCTTCACGATCGTCCCAACGACGGGGAATATGACGATTTTGCTGAGAAGTTCTTCAGCTATGTGCAAGCCTGTGATATTTTTATGTACAGCCCAAACAGTAACAAGCCTGAGAGATTCTACGATATAATCAATGACTTATCACCCTCCCCTATCTCTCGTAACATGTGATGTGAGAGACAAAGAGTAAGTGATAAATCACCAGTTACACCCAAAATTTATGATGTGATATTGATATAGTGTATGTACCATTCCTTGCAAACTTGTTCATAAGAATAAGTTGTGCCTGTTGACGATAACATTTGGAATCATTACCAAAAATCCGAAAACCTTCTGTTAATGGAAGGGACAAGGAATTGACGACACAATGCAGTACCAGCTCCACAATCATCCGGATAAGAACCATGAAGTTGAAAATTAGACTGTACATCATTGCAATAAGAAAGAGTTGTCAAAAGGCAAAAGTCAAATGACTCTGTATTGAAAGCGAACCATAGAACCTGATTAGTTCATTACACAAATGCTTAGCAGTCAAATGTGCTAAGAACCTAAGATGAATGGATATGTGATTCACTTCTCCACTGCAAATGACTCCGGTTTAAGCAATAAGGATGAAGAAAACCGACTCTACCTTGAATAATAAATTTCAGATATAGCTTCGCGTCACCATCAATAAGCACAAAGAAAATGGTCCAAAATTCTTACTGTGCATAATGGACGGAGGATATCCAATCAACTAGTCATAGAGGCCTTCTTCTTGCCAGATATTAGCTAAAAAATCCACCATTTCCTGCATAACGCAACAATTTAAATTGTTCACATCGATACCATCCAAATTAGGAAAGAAAAAGAAATGAATTAGAGAAACTTACAGCTAAAGGTATTGGCTCCTGAAAAGGTTCGGTAGATAAAAGAAGATCCTCATACGTTGTGGTCCAGCTGAAAAAGAAGATTCCACATTACAACTTAAAGGTTGCACATCCACTACACAGGTATATATGGAAGAATCACACATAGCCAGTAATATGATAGCACCCGGGAACTGCAACTTTAGGAGCATTTGATTATTTTGCTGACCTTGTGAATTACTTTTGCTTCAAAATCTTAGCATGCAAGTGGAAACGTATTCTGCATTCTTTACATAATTTTTTCTTCTTCACAAGATCATACATTTAAATAGAGATGCCAATTATTTTCCTCAATATCCATCCATTACGAGAATACGTCAAGAACTCGACAATTTTAAATCCAATTGGAGAAACAGCTCAAAGAAATGAAGGAAAAAAAGAGTAAAGTTTATGTCTATACAAAAATAGATAATAGAAAAGAGGCACAAATGTTGAGGAATGCTTCAGTTTCCCACCTAAATTATTGGCTATTAGCCTACTCCTGACTTAAATAGGAACCAGATAGACCAGGAATACATTTTGTTAGGCTGGTCTACTAGTATTGAAACACCAATGTGACCAGCAGGGGGACAGTAGCTCAAGTAGTTAACAGCATTTATCCCTACACTCGTAGGATCAATTCCTCCCTTGCCACTATCACTTGTATCCCAACAAAAAAACACCAATGTGACAGTAAATGTAGACAACTGTACCTCATAATTGGTTCTCTTGGCGCTCTTTGTGATTTCTGAGACTGATCACCGACCCATTCTCTTCTTCTCTCTTGCCAAGCTACCTCTGCTGCATCATAAGGTCATACACATTACAGAAATAATAAGATACTATTTCACAAGATTCTAATCACCAAGGGGAGAAAATGAGGAGAAAAAAAATGAGGCATACAGTTCCCTGAGTAGGCTAGATAACTTTCAAGCAGCAGTCAATGTCCGAAATCTTTTCTGAAGATAATTCTTCAACACATTTATATAAATGCTTCTGTTTACCTATCATACTTCTAAAAAGTTATATATACCATGCTCCATGCACCACATAACTAATACCATTTGAAACAACCACTCTTATTCACACTGGAATTCAGAGAAAGTCTTCGGAATAAAAGAGTTCTGTTTTAAGGCTTGACCACACTTCTACCAACTTGTATCAATAGTAGATTCATAGTTTACTCAGGAAGGAAAATTTGGGGTTTCTAACAAATAAAACTAGCTCCTTATATTTTCTGGCTGAGGTTGATTCTGGGCAGAGAGACATACCATGATTAATAAAGACTTCTTTCTCAGTAAGCTTCTCTCTCCTATCAATATTTGAAGCATCGGAAGGCTGATTTTCATTGGAATTAGAATTGCTACCATTAGTTTCCATTCTCCCTAGACGGGACAATCATCGCCTATTAAACCACTGCTCCAAAAAAAAGAAAGTAGATGGAGAACTAGTCTCCATGCGAGAAACATCATCAACTTGACAAGCGATAAAATCTTACGTACCAGTGGATAAGGAGAAATAAAGCAGGGAAACAAAAATGAAAAGAAGCAACTCATGAAATCATATAATGTTCAAGCACATTTTCAATCCCATTATATACTGCCACCGCAGAATTTCATAGCTTTTACAATTCTACATGCTGCATTTAAATCACAGATACACAAACTTCACACACACACAACAGAACTCATGAATATTACATCAACCACATGGGTTCTCCAGCAATGCCCCTCCTCTTTTTCTGTGTGATTCTTTTTAGAAACATCAGGGGCATGTCTTGGACTCTCCCCCGTCCATATGGCCCCTTAACCCCAACTGTAGTTTCCTTGCCTCTGTTTATTTATCAGGGAATATTACTCCTTTATAGAGAAGTGATCAGCCTTAGAAGCATAACATTACTGTCTACACGCAAAACTCGATAAACCATGCTTCATTATGAGATGAACAAAGAAGTTTAATCCTTTTCCCAAATTCAATCCTTTGCTGGTCATGGCAGAAACTGATGGACCAAGAAAGTTGCCAACTTAATTTTTCTCTCTTCTTCCATCTTTGAATCCACAACGATTACATTATCTAATTCAATATCAACTCACCTCAAAATCTAATTGCAAGTTTCACAACTTTGAATTCATTCCAAGAATCCCCAATTATTTATTTCTACCTAAGATTCTAAAATAAATTGCATCACTCCAAGAAAATCCAATAACCTCACCAGAACCTAAACCTCTCAGTCATTCAAACTCAATGTTGCAATCATCAGTTTGCTTATTTATTCACAGTTGCCACCTACCCTGATAAGATACAAACAAGAAATTCCAACAAACCAACTTCAAGCAATAAAACCCATGTTTCTAATGCACATTTACAGAAAAAAAAAATAAGTACTTTGAATCAACCAAAGTTTCCAAATAACATAAGATGAAAAACCCAAACATTAAAAATAGAAAACGATTAGGAGGGAGGAATTAGGAAGGCCATACGTACCTGGGTTTCTTGGACTCTGTAGTGAGTGGTGGGGGTGGCGAGTCAGAGTAGTGCGAGGAGATTCAGGGAATGGTATTTCGCTGAGGTGTGAGTAATCACGAAGAAGACGAGAGATCTTCGAAGATTCAAGAGTTGGGCTTTAGTGAGACAAAACTCAATTAAGGATATAAACATGAATTTCTTTGATGATTTCTTGGTGCTGAGACTTTGGTATCGCGGATTTTAAAAGACTTTGAAATTATCCACATGCCTTGTACGAGAAAAATTTGTGCGAGGTTTGGTTTGTTATTGGTTATCGCTAACTGACACTACAATTCATTCAAAATTCGTTACGTGGTAAGTCTTAAGTATAATTTTTTATCATTTTTTATATTTAAAATTTTTAAAATTATTTTTTTAACTAATTAACAAGGTTCTAAAAAATGTTAGGCGTTAGTCGGCGGCGGGCTGGCTCCTAGTGCCTAGGCGGCTAGGCAGGGTCTAGACGGGCGCCTAGGCGGTTTAGGCGGATTTAGGTAAATTTTTTGTATATCTTGTAAATAAATGCATATTGACACTTATAAAAAAAAAATATATACTTGTGAAATATATAGATAAGAAATAAAAGAATGATAAAATGTAAAAAGAGTATTCAACAAGTTCAAAATTAAAAAATACATTAAGCATATATACCATATAACTTAAGATATTTTGAATGATTGTATCTAATTTAAAAAAAAAAAAAGTATAAATCCCACGTAGTTGGTTAGGTGATTTGTAATAAAGAACAAATTATGAAAAAGTGCATGCATCCTTCCTCATTTTATAAAGCACCACATGTGTGGTGTGACCCCTCCCCTTTGTAGAATTGGTATATTTCATTGATTTGTTTATAGGTACAGGTCTGTGATTATATACACTTTGAATACAATCCTAATATGGTAAATACAACCATACTTGAATGACTGAATCAATCCTAATCAAATAGAATAGGAAAGACATCATAGCATATATCATAGTTGACTTCATACGGAGGAGCTGATTGTGCGGTTGATGGAGTAGATTGTGTTGTTGACGAACTGATCTCCTTTGATGTAGGAGATTCCTTAACACGCAAGACGGTGGCACCATCGGAGACACCGATCTTGGAACGAAGGAGATGGAAACGAGGACGTGGCAAGGATTTGGTGAGAGCGTCAGCAAGCTGATCAGTAGTGGAGACATAAGACACTTGAAGAAGACCACGAGTGACACGATCCTGTACAAACTGAAAATCAATATTGATATGTTTCATACGGGAATGTAGGACAAGATTAGCACAATAGAACATGGCTCCAATGTTATCACAAGAAACAACTGGTGTTGTGGGGAGAGGAATGCCAAGTTCACGCAGTAAGGACTGAATCCATGTGAGTTCAGCAGTGGTGTCAGCAATGGCCCGATATTCGGCTTCGGTGGAGGAGCGAGAGACAAACCGCTGCTTACGGGAGCTCCAAGAGATGAGATTTCCACCGAGATAGACAACATAGCCAGTCGTAGACTTGCGATCATCACGATCACCAGCCCAGTCAGCATCTGAAAAGGCATAGAGACGATGAGAGGGGCGACGACAAAGATGAAGGCCAAAGGAAATGGTACCTTTCAAGTAGCGAAGAAGACGCTTGAGTGCCTGCCAGTGAGTCTCGGAAGGAGAATGCATGAATTGAGAGAGCTTATTGACTGCGAAGGAGATGTCAGGGCGTGTAAGGCTTAGGTATTGAAGACCACCAACAAGACGACGGTAGGGAGTGGCATCTGTTAGGGAGGAGCCATCATGGAGCATGAGTGAGTTAGTGGTGGAGAGAGGCGTACTGACAGCCTTTGCACCATCCATCTTGGCATTGACGAGAAGATCATGAATGTACTTGTGCTGAGAGAGGAATAGGCCAGTGGCTGTGGGAAGGACCTCAACACCAAGAAAGTAATGTAATGAGCCCAGGTCCTTGACAGAGAACCGAGTTGCCAATAGTTGGATGAACTTTGCTACAAGTGAGGAATCGTTGCCTGTAATAAGAAAATCATCAACATAAACCAAAAAATAAATTACAGCAGTCCCATTTTTGAAGAGAAAGAGTGAGGCATCAAAGATGGCATTGACAAAGCCATGGAAGAGCAGAAATGAGTGTAATTCCTTGTACCATGCCCGGGGAGCCTATTTAAGGCCATAGAGGGCTTTCCTCAATTTACACACATGAGATGGATGATTAGAGTCAACAAAACCAGATGGTTGGACCATATAGACATTTTCACGGATTGTGCCATGAAGGAAAGCATTGTTAACGTCCAATTGACGTATTGGCCACCCATGAGTCACGGCAAGATGCAAAACAATGCGTATGGTAGTAGATTTGACCACCAGACTGAAAGTATCTGAAAAATCAACACCAGGGCGTTGGTGAAAACCATTGGCAACTAGCGTGCCTTGTACCTGTCAATAGTGCCATCAGGATGCCGTTTGATATGAAACACCCACTTACAACCAATAAGATTTTGATAGGGGAGGGAAGGAACGAGCTCCCATGTACCATTGCAAATTAACGCATTGAACTCATTGGACATTGCTTGCCGCCAAAGGGGATCCTTGATGGCCTGGGAAACACATGTCGGTTCAACTGAAGTGAGAATGAGATGTTTAGTAGCAGTCATAGCATACCGAGGATTGGGTTTGTGGATACCTGTTTTGGCACGGGTGATCATGGAATGATCGGGGAATACATAAGGTACGGGGGGGGTTGGGGGGTGTGGGTCAGAGGATGGAAGGGTGACAACAGTCGTATGAGGGTTTCTAGTGTATGTACGAATGGGGCTGAGGTGGGGAGGTGGCTGGACCTGATCAGTTTGGGCTAGAGAATGTGGTGAGGTGAATAGAGGTGCGGTAGAGGTAGGGGCCAATGCATGGTGGTTGGGTGACGGTAAGAGATGAGTGGTAGCAGCAGCAATAGGGGCCGGGGTAGCGGATGGTGACGGTTCTGAGACGGGGGTAGATTCTGATGATGATGATGTGACATGTGGTGGCAGCGAAGAAGAAACAACCGACTCAACAGGCCTGGTGGGTAAGTGTACAGGAACATGAGTAACTGGAGGAAGAGAGGAGACCCAAGTGTGAAAGTTATCAACAGTGACATGGGGAATTGAGGAAGGGAGGTTGGCAAGAGGAAAAATGGACTCATCGAATTGAACATGCCGAGAGATAAAAAGTTTGTTGGAGGAAAGATCAAGACACTGAAAAGCACTTTGATTAGATTAGTAACCAAGGAAGAGACATGGGCGGGAACGAGGGAGTAATTTATTGGAATTGTAAGGACGTAACCAAGGAAAACACAAGCACCCAAATGTACAAAGACGGGAGTAATTGGGTTGTTCATCAAAGAGTTGAGTGAATGGGGAGAGATTGTGAAGAAGCGGAGTAGTCATGCGGTTGATAAGATAGGCAGCTGTTTTAAAGGCATAAGACCAATAGGTGAGAGGTAAAGAAGCTTGATGAAGAAGGGTGAGACCAGTTTCAACAATATGACGATGTCATCGTTCGGCAACTCTATTGTGTTGAGGAGTGTGAGGTGGTGTAAGAAGATGGGTGATGCCATTGGATGAGAGAAAATGTTGGAGTTTGATGAATTCGCCCCCACCATCAGTGTATAATCTAGTGATTTTTCTTTTGAAGTAATTTTCGACAAGTGCTTTGAAGGTGACAAAAGTGGAAAACACATCAGATTTCTTTTTAAGAGGGTAGAGCCATATGTATTTTGTAAAATGGTCAACAAAGATAACATAGTAGGAAAAACCATCAATAGAAGAGTACGGAGCAGGGCCCCAAACATCACTATAAAGGAGGTTTAATGGACCATGACTGGTGAGAGACGAAGTACCAAACGGGAGCCGATGGCTTTTATTACATAGAAATGAATGACAAACAGACTCGAACAACTTGGAAGACACATTAATGGAAGATAAATGAAAGACTTGTTGGAGAGTTTGGTGGCTGTGGTGACCAAGACGACGATGCCAGAGGTTAGGAGAAACCACCACACCCACCATAGCTTGCGGTTGACAAAAAGATTTGGGGGACCACTCGTACACATCATCCTTATTCGGGCCTCGAAGAAGAACCGCCCCCATGCTTAGATCCTTAACATGAAAGAAATCAGGACAAAGTTCAATAGAGGTATTATTTTGTTTATTAAATTTAGAGATAGAAATAATGTCTTTTTTCATAGAAGGAACACATAGAAAGTTTGATAAGCTGAAAGATTGGGAGGATGAGGAGGGTAAAGTGGTTGAACCGACATGAGTGATACCCAAACTTGAACCATTACCAATAATTATTTCATTAGGACCATCATATATAGAGGCACCAGAAAGAGTGTTGACATTGGAGGTAACATGGTGAGAAGCACCGGAATCAAGCAACCATGTTGGAGAATAGGTGGACCGGCCATGGGTGGTAGGATTGGCCACTAGCGGACTGTGAGGTCCAGATTGGAGTTGAGGGCAACGTTTGGCACTATGACCTTGAGTGCCACACCATTGACAGAAACCACGATAACCTGTGTTGTTCATGTTGGTAGAGCGGCGACCATTGTCGGTGAAAGATTGTTTGGTGGGCCTGTAGGAACTACGAGAATTGGTGTCAATGGAAGATGTGTGGGGGTGCCTGAAGGAACCACAAGAAGGATTGCGAGAGGCAAAGGACCCACGGTTGGAGTTGGAGTTGTGAAAGCGGTAACCACGGTTTGAGGTGTGGGAACGAGATGTCTGAGTGACACTAGCAGTGATCACTGGGGTAGCAACAACAGTATCATCACGCTTGAGAGCAGCTTCATGTTCAACCAGTTTGTCATAGAGGTTTTCAAAAGAGATTGAGGTGTCACGGGAACGAACTACCGCAACAATTTCCTTGAAGTCAGAGCCAACACCATTAAGAATGTAGAGAAGGAGATCGTCATCAGAGAGGGGGACATCAATGATGGCGAGCTCATTTGCAATAACGTGGACTTCTTGTAGATACTCAGAGACAGGCTTGTTCTCACGGCGCAGGAAAGTAAGGAGTTCTTTGAGACCAAGAACACAGGCACGGGCTTTGCTAGCAAAGAGATGGAGAAGCTTGTCCCAAGCCTCCTTAGATGTCTTGGCAGAGGCAATAAGGGAGATGACCTGTGATGAGACGGAAGCAAGAATCGCATGAAGGAGGAGTTGATCTTACCGAATCTAAAAGGTACGAAGCATGGATTGAGTGG